TCCACACAACCTCGACTCCTCCTTCATCTCCCATCTAAAAACATCCTAAAAGATAAAGAATGAAAGGGAGGAAAAGTGCATCTTGGGTCCAATATAAATAAATATTGGGTGGTTATATGAACCGTGAACACATAAGGGACTTCTGTGGTTCCTGCTTTGACCTTCTAAGCATATTTTCAAGCACAACAATTAGGCATTTCCCAAGAAATTACCAATCCTAATGGTCAAATGTGGGTCAAAGGCCAATCTCCTACAACCCCCATCTCTGAGGGTAAAAATGATTGATAACCAAATGAGAATATTTGACGACAGGCCAATTTTACTCAACTTATTTTTTAATAATGGGAAAGTAAAGAGAGCCATAATTTTTCAAGGGCTTTTAAGCACTGAGGTCAGGGAGACACGGGATGGATCCCCATTCTTGACTATCCAAAAGAAACAAACCCCAAATCCAACGTTTCAGACACAGCTACATAATCTCAGTCTTGTGCCTAAAAAAAAAAAAAAAAAAAAAAAATCCTCATTAAGTCCAGGTACATGGGACAGGGATCATAAACTTTAGCAAGAAGCACATTTTTAGGTTACTTTCAGTCCCGCAGGTATCTGTGAAGCCTGAGGAATCAGGGCGAGCTCAGAAGGGCGGGAAGGAGAGGCAACCCTGGGAGAGACGCTCAGAGGGCTGAGAATTGCCCGGCGCTTAGGAGCACCAAGGCCCCCGGGCAGGCTCGAAGCTCCCAGGAGGTTAGACCGGGCAGGCTCGAAGCTCCCAGGAGGTTAGACCGCGAGTGGTGAAGGCTGGAGGACGGGGGTATTTGCCGACAGCAAGCCGGGCAAGGGGCCCAGAGAAGTGGCCCAGTACCTCACTGCCTAGACGCCTAGCAAGCGGGGTTTGAGAAAAGCCTTGAACCCGAAGTCCTCATCACTTCCGGCATGGCAAACCTCAATGAAAAGGAACCTTTGTGGGCCCCTTAGCCCACCTTGCCTGGGCTTTAGAGAGGTCTGAGTGTACTCCTCCCCTACCTTCTCCAGTGTCTGCTAGTAACCTTCCTCCTCCCTGTTGAGCACCCACTGGCGCCCTAGGGCTGGGCTCCCTTGATCCCTGGAATAATTCAGGGCACCCTGTTCGCCCTTGAACGTGCCTCTAGCGTGGCCCAAATGGCACTAGGTGCTCCAAACCCGCCGGGCACCCAGTCCTTCTGCAAGGTGGCCGCCCTCGCGGAAACCACGCGGGACTGGCGAGCGGTAAAGCAATTGCAAGGGCAATAAAAAGCAGCTCAGTGGGTCCCCCAGATCCTTTCTTGTCCACCTCACTGTCCCCGGCTTACCCCCTCCCTCCGCCTGCAGAAACAATCAAACAAAGGCTCAAAAGCCAGGAAATGTCCAATTCACTTCCCTTAGAGTTTATTAATCGCCCACACCCATCACAGGGACACTTGGCTGTGCTCCGTGAGGAACGGAGGGCTCCGGGGGAGCCTCAGTCACCACCACCCCTGCGCAGCGGGAAGCCACAAGCGCCAGCCTGGGCATCCCCGAGACCGGGTCCTATAGCCTCAAGGCGGCTGAGCGCGGCGGGGCCGCCGGGTTCGGGCCAGCTCGGCGTTCACAGTCCCTCCTCAGCCTCCTCCTGCCTTTGTTTGGCTCTGGAAGGAGGTTGGGATTCCGGGTGCAACAGGGAAGTCTGAAAATCGATGCTCCCCAAGAGCACCTGTTGACCCCAGAAAGGGCATTTCCATAGATTGCCACGTTGCTGCCCCCACACAAGCACCTCCGCGGCAAAAGCGCAGATAAGGGCATGAGTTTTAGGGTCGGCCCTGACAACCAGCAGCACCGCAGAACCATGGAACATGGAGCTGAATCCACAGATGGGAACTGGCATAACGACTTCTATGCACTCCTGCATGCCTTCTTCTTCTTTTTTTTTTTGGAAACCATTATTATTTTCTTCAACGCCCTGGAAATTGCTGGTGTTTATTTAGGAAGTGTGACACAGTTACTGGGTTCTTAGAAACTCGGGATGTTAAGGGGGTTTGATTTGGCTCCCAAATGGCTTGAAAAAGAAACAGCGCACCTGGGGTCAGGCGGGTCATCACAATAACAAAAAGCGCGTCTACAAAATAAAAAGCTCTTTTATAAAGAAAGGCAATCCCGGAAATCCACTGCGAGCCTTCCTGGTGACCATCTAGCTAGGCCTATTCTCAGGTTTAATTGGCAGGCGGTTTATTGGCGCCTTATTGGTGTTGATTGAAATTTTGCTCCCAGTTCTTTCTTTTAAGAATTAGCATCTCAAGTCGATTTACCTGAGTCAATTATCTTTTTAGAGTCTGGGTTTGGCCATAAATTTGCAAATATTCATTAAACGCACTTTGTAAATATCCCTCTTTCCAATCGCCACCCAAATGTCTATTATTTCCTACGAAAGTCTTTTCTTTTTTAAGGCTTCCATAAAAAGAAATTGATCAGGGAGCTATATTTGAATTAAGACATATTAAATCGATGACAGATACATATCATGCTGTGTTTAACAAGAGTTGTACAAGGAGGCGGGTTCCAGATTCCGCACGGCTCTGCTGCACCATTATTCACATTTTTACAGCCTTTCCTTCATGCCTTCACCCATTAAACCATTAAATTTCAGCAATTCAATAAAACAAAGCAGTTATAATTTTGAGGAAAAGCTATTTTGGAGGGGATGGAGGTACCCATTTTATTGCACAATAAAAATGCTCAGTAGTCCATATTAAAAGGTAGGTTGTGTTTATTTTCTTCTTTCTTTATTCGTTCATTTTTTGTTTGTTTTTACTTATAACCTGCAGGATTGAATGCAAAGCTGCTATTATGGAAGTAGTGATGATCATTGCCAAGAAATTCAAATAAGGGAAACTCCTTTGAAATGTTCTGAGAGAGGATGGAGACAGTGGTGACAATTCCAAATACGCTTTCCCAGAAACCATCCATAGAGATGGCAGTCCTCACTACACTTTTGCCTGATTGGCTTGAGACGTTTTAAGTCTTTGAAAGGAAAATTGTGAAAGGACTCATCCTCTCCAAATACAAATGCGGATTTTGTCGCTGCTGTTTATTAATTTTTTTTCGTTGTGTTTGCACTCATGCCTTTCTTATTTCCCCGTATTTGAACTTCATTGAGGTTTAAAGAACAAACCTATTTGAAATTTGATTGTAGTATTTTCTTTGTTTGCTTGTCAGTTTTATAAGAGGAATGACATTCCCAAGGCTCACAGGGAAGTTCCCTGTTAAACATTGCTCACACCGATGTAAATGGGGCTATCGAATCAGTTCTTTTGAAAATATTTCTTACCACTTCCCAGGACCATCTCCTAGGACCATAAAGATGATGGCTTTATGCAGTCTATTTTTACTTGGACTGCAAATGAATTAAACTGGTAACTTGTTTTTTGCATCCCCAAAGGGGGGAAAATCACATTTTAGTCATTATCACTTTTTTTACAAATAATCTTATGCAGGCCAACAAAATAAAAATTTAAACCCCTGACTTTTAATTTTTTAGCATCTTGGAACATCACAAAATCTTAAAGTGTTTTCTTTTTAAGAGCTGAAGTGATACTTTTGGGCAGCAACAACCCTAAAGTTTGGGGATGCCACATTTCTCCACACCCCCCCCCCCCAAGAAGTGATGCAGGAACCTATTTCTCTTTTTAAAGAGGTGTGATAACAAACAAATCCTTTGAAAAGGTTGGGGCTTGTTTTTTGTTTTTAAAGCCAGTTTATATAGTTTTCAAATAAGACAAATCGCCTTCTCTATTAGTTTATTAGAAAACGATGACAAGGTAAAGGGTTATTCTATTAGTAAGTAAATATCGAAAGTATTGCTTGATTTTAAAATATTCATTTTATTGGATCAGTTTTAATTTGTGGTCCTTTCAATGAAACTGAGGCACACATATGGAGTGCTTTCTGGGCTGGAAAGAAAATCTGCGTAAAGGATGTTGTTTACTTAGCCGCTTCCCTCTGGAGAGATGCTGTTTGGCCTGCCCCTGCCACTGTATCTCAGAGAGGCAAAAGTTAGAATCGCTGCCCAATGTTCTCCCACCCCCACCCGTAGATATAATTGAAAGTGGCAGATCTAGAACTGAGGAGCAGTGAGATTACACTTCGAGCCAACTCCTTTGAACCACGTTGAAAAGGACTGCAGGAGCTAAAAAGTCGAGGCAAAACGGTTCCTTTTCGGGAAAGATTTATTTTGACTTCACCTGGTGTCTTGCGGAGCCAAATCACTTAAATTGTTTTTGCAACCAATAGGACTTTAATATCCCTCCTCATTCCGTCGCCTGTCGCTGCGCCCTACGTGAGCGCTCGGCAGATTGGGTGTCCTTCCCAAATAAGAACTTTCTAGCATCACCTCCACAAGTACGACGACGGCTATATTCTGTTCCCCTTCCTCCCCCAGAGAGCAGCCCAGGGCTCTTCCAACGGAGGAGGGAGAAAGTGTTTGCATGGTGGAGGAGACGCTGCGTGCGGTGAGGCGGAGGTTTTTGAAGCTGGGGGCTATCCCCCTCCCTCCTTTTGTCCGGGGGTTGGGGGTGTCCCCAGCCCTTACCCACGCCGCGCCCTTCGGCCGCGTGCCGGCGCACGCTCTCCGACAGGCGCGTCATGGGAACGCGGGGCGCTGCGCGCGCAGGCCCAGGGCAAACTTTCTGCAAGTGCAACTTGGGCATCCCCTGGAAGGCGGGGACGCAGGGCTCCAGGGGAGGAGGGGGCGCGAAGCGAAAGCGAAGGAGGCTGCGAGCACGGGGGCGGATCCCTGCTGGGCCGAAGGCCTGAATGGGAGCCAATCCGGCAGCCGTGGCTGCTGCCAATCACGCTGTTCCCTCCAATCCCACCCGTGCCATTTCCAAAAATCTCGGTCCCACTGTGCAGCTCAAATGTGGTGTTCGCTCTGCCAATCGCTGGAGGACAGAGTGGGAACAGGAATAAGCAGAGTTAGGCCAGGACAAAGAAGTTAAAGAGAGCCTAATATATACATGTTTTTGAAGGTGGGCAGAGGGAAAAAAAGTCCCCCCAGTGAGGGTCTATGGGTCTGATTGTGTAGTTCTGATGGAGCCCCCCTTGAGCAAGAGGAACCCGCCAGCGCTGAGATTAGCGGATCTGGCAACGGCTCAGGCCAGGCCGCTTCAGAATATGACAGGCTTCCCGGCGCTGGCCAGCCCGCCCTCCCACTCCCAACTCCGCGCCACAGCCACGCACCTCCGCCCTCGGGACCTGAGCGCTGACCCCGGCGTGGCCATCACTCCGCTCGGACCGGAGCACATGTCTCAAGCGAGCGCGGTCGGCCTCAGCCCTCCCTCCCAGGCGCTCCCGGCACAGCCCGAGGCGCCGGCGGCCGCCGCCCGCGCTGCAGCCTCGGTCGCGCACCCCGGCGCCTGCACCTACCCCGGTGGCGGGGGCAGCAGCCGCGCGCAGCCCTCCGCGCCCCCGCCCCCAGCCCCTCCTCTTCCTCCCTCCCCTTCACCTCCTCCTCCTCCCCCTCCCCCTCCTCCTGCCCTCTCGGGCTACACCACCACCGACAGTGGCGGCGGCGGCAGCAGCGGCAAAGGCCACAGCAGGGACTTCGTCCTCCGGAGGGACCTTTCCGCCACGGCCCCCGCGGCGGCCATGCACGGGGTCCCGCTTGGAGGGGAGCAGCGGTCTGGCACGGGCTCCCCCCAGCACTCGGCCCCGCCTCCCCACTCGGCCGGCATGTTCATCTCGGCCAGCGGCACCTACGCGGGCCCGGACGGCAGCGGCGGCGGGGGCCCGGCGCTCTTCCCTGCGCTGCACGACGCTCCGGGAGCCCCCGGCGGCCACCCGCACCCGCTCAACGGCCAGATGCGCCTGGGGCTGGCGGCGGCAGCAG